TCGAAGCAAGGAGGAGTGTAGAGTTGCATGTGTCAAAATGATAGTTTTGGATAAACTACCTTTTAGGTTTGTTGAAGCTCGTGGTTTTAGGCTCTTTTGTAGTGTAGCATGTCCTCAGTTTCAGGCTCCATCTCGTAGGACTCTAGTTAGAGACATTTATCAGTTGTATTTGGATGAAAAATTGAAATTGAGAGATGTCTTTTCTTTTCACCGTCAAAGGGTTTCCCTTACAACTGATACTTGGACGTCTATTCAGAATGTTAATTACATGTCTCTTACAGCACACTACATTGATTCTGATTGGACGCTTAACAAGCGTATTTTAAATTTTTGTGTCATTCCAAATCATAGGGGAGAAACTATTGGAAAAATGATTGAGACTTGTTTGCATGATTGGGGGATTGAGAAAATTTTTGCTATCAATGTTGATAATGCAAGCTCCAATGACACAACCATTTCTTATCGTAGGCGAAAGGTAGTTGCTTGGGGGTAGTGATGGATGTGATCTAGATGGGAAATATTTACACTTGAGATGTTGTGCACACATTATCAATTTGATCGTTGGTGAAGGGTTGAGGGAAGCACATGACTCCATTGTGAATGTTCGGAATGCAATCAAATATGTGAAATCTTCTCTTTCTAGGTACGAAAAATTAAAGGAGTGTGCAAGGAAAGAGAAGATTGATTGTAAGTCTATTGTGTTTTTGGATGTTCCAACTAGGTGGAACTCTATTTATTTGATGTTGGAGACGGCATTGAAATTTGAAAAAGTTTTTGATAGGTTAGAAGAGGAGGATGCTCAATATTCACATTACTTTCGAGAAGATGATAGCGGTAGGAGAAGGGGTGGACCTCCGTCAAGTTTAGATTGGAAAAGTGTATCTGTGTTTGTTAAATTTCTTAAAAATTTCTTTAATGTGACTTTGGTTTTTAGTGCTTCATTGCATGTTAGTGCTTGTGCTTATCTGCATGAAATTTGTAATCTTGTAATCGAATTGGATGAATGGAGATTAAGTGGAAACTTTTTTTTGGTTGAAATGACGACTAACATGAAAAAGAAGTTTGATAAGTATTGGGGTAAAATGGAAAATGTGAATCAAGTGTTGCTTTTTGCTACTATCCTCGATCCAAGATACAAAATGAATTATGTTGAATATTGTTTGAATGATCTATATATGGATGTAGAAGTTGTTACTAATATGATGAAGTCTTTGAAAACCAATTTGATAGATATTTATGAGTGGTTTGTTGGTCATGAAGGTATTGATGGAAATAGTAAAGTGTCAACCGAGGAGTCTTTAAGTTCTATCAATACATATAAAGGAAGTTCTTCTTCTATGAGTAATGCTCGTCTCAATAGATTTCTGGAAAAACAAGTGGTGAAGGATTTGGTTGAAATAAAAAATGATGTGGAACGATACTTGTTGGATGCTCGTGAAAGCATAGAGAACAAGGATTTTGAAGTTCTGGATTGGTGGAAGGTTAACAGAAATAAGTATGGTGTGTTGTCCAATTTGGCCAAAGATGTTTTGGCAATTCAAGTTTCAACTGTTGCTTCAGAAAGTGCATTTAGTACTGGAGGAAGGATACTTGATCCTTTTCGTAGTTCCTTAAGTACTAGGATGGTTGAGGTCTTAGTATGCATTCAAAATTGGTTGAAAGCATCTCCGAACTTGGATGGTTTTTGCATGGAAGATGTTGAGCATTACAACCAAATGGATGAGCTTTTAGATTCAATAAATTCAAAATCAGCTGAAGATGACCAAGAGCCCGACGCTAAGTGAATCATTCATTTTACAAGATTTTACTTTTCAGGTAGGCATATTAATCGGTGAATAATTTCACAATTATTATGTTTCCATCAGTTTTCCCATTTCTATAAAACTGACTTGTACAATTTTTTATGAGAACAGGTTAGTGCATAAAACTTTTGCTTCAACAAACAATGGCTTTTGACTTTATCATGTGTTACAAAATGCAAAGACACTATCAAACTTAAAGAATGTAAGTTCCAGTCTTCCAGAGCTCTAATATCACAGAATACTTTTGTTATATATTACTATAATTGAGTTTACATATTTGAAATGCTCTAAGCCTCTAACTATGTTTGAAGGATATTTTGGCTAAAAGTTTCTTACACTTGGTGAGATACTGAGATGGATGCTGTTTTTGAATCTGATTGTGTCGTGAAAATCACTATTTTGCATGACAAAAAATGTAAGTAATCCCCATTCTTGTTTGTAGAATATTGTTTATTTATGCATGAATAGGAATTGAGTTTACATATTTGAAATGCTCTAAGCCTCTAACTATTTTTGAAGGATATTTTGCTCAAAGTTTCTTACACTTGGTGAGATGGATCCTGTTTTTGAATCTGATTGTGTAGTGAAAATCACTCTTTTGCATGACAAAAAATGTAAGTAATCCACATTCTTATTTGTAGAATTTGTTTATTTATGCATGAATAGGGAAAGCATATTTACTTGTCCTATAGCAAAACGGTGGTACTTTCTTTTGACACATTAAGTGTTTGCTTTTCTTAGTTCTCATTATCCAGATTTTTGTTAAAACCAAACATTGAAAAGCAAACCAGGTTGGGGATTTGACGGGAAATGCCAATTTATGAATAAGCTTGAATTGGAGGTTTCCCAGCCTTCTAATTTCTAAATAAACATGGCATTCCCAGCTTTTGAAACAGATTCTAGATAAAGATGGTTCACATTCGTCACAAGGCAAGATCTCCAGGAGGATTTTCATATAGGTAATCTAGAAAGATTAGTTTTATTCCTTTCCCTTGAGAAATATTTCATAATTCCATGGACATCAGCAAATGAAAGCTCGAGCAACTCAAAAGCCTGTAATAACTTTTCTTCAAAATGTTCTTCGTCAATTACAACTGGATAGTTTTATTTATAGCCTAGGATTTTTTATTAAGTAGAAACAAGAAGCTGCTGGGAGATGTTTTCCTATTCATGCATAAATTACCTGCAAAGGGAATTATTGTTTATTTATAAGCTATAGCTTTATCTAATTACGACAAATGTTTACTTTGTTATTGCCATCAATGTTGCTGTCTTGCTGACATTGGAGTTAAGGGTCCCAGATTACAATGTTGCTGACTTGCTGGGAATCTGAGATGTTCTTACTGCTGCTGGCTTGATAGGAATTTGAGTTAAGGTCCCGGATGGGTTTACTTTGTTTTGTCATCAATGTTCCCAGACTGCTATTGACTGTTGAGTGCTGAGAATCTGAGAATGCCTGATTATGCAACTGCCCCAACTCTCAAGTTCACTGTATTAATTTTCAAGTTCTTTTGACAATGGATGACTGTATTAATTGTATGTGGGTGAATTTTTATTTGGATAGTTGTATACTATATTAAATATTATTTGTATTTTAGTTATTTGGATGACGAGTTGTCTTTTTTTGAACATACTATGATAATAAATTACACTTTTGCCCAAACCGATCAACCCAACCCAACCCAACCCGACCGACACTTGATTGGGTTAGGTTGGGTTGGTTGCAACATTTGGTTGGGTTGGGTTTGTTTGATTTTTTATCAAACCGACCATGTTAGGGTTGGGGCAAAAACCGACCTAACCCAACCCACGCCCACGCCCACGCCTACCAGCAGGTTGCACAGCGATTTTGTAATCTTTTCAAAGTCTTGAATAAATCTTCTGCAAAATCCTGCATGTCACAGAAAACTCCTGATCCCCTTTACTGAATTGGGTGGCTGCAATTTCTTAATCACCTGTATTTTGTCTTTGTCCATCTCGATGCCTTGTGCGAAAATTCAATGTCCCATACTATTCCCTCATTTACCATGAAATGACATTTTTCCCAATTAAGCACGAGATTCTTCTCCTCACATCTTTGCAATACAAGAGCTAACCGATCCAAACAATCTTCAAATGAATCTCCAAACACAAAAAAATCGTCCATGAAAACCTCAATGTGCTTTTCTACCATGTCAGAAAAGATGGCCATCATACATCGTTAAAAGGTTACCGATGCATTGCATAAACCAAAAGGCATTCTTCTAAACGCAAAAGTTCCATAGGGACATGTGAAGGTTGTATTTTCTTGGTCTTTTGGAGCAATTACTATCTGATTGTACCCTGAATATCCGTTCAAAAAGCAACAATGAGAATGTCCTGCCAACCTCTCCAACATCTGACCAATGAATGACAATGGAAAATGGTCCTTTCTGATTGCATTATTTAGCTTCCTAAAATCTATACATACTCTCCACCCTGTCATTAACCGTGTTGGTACCAACTCATTGTTATCGTTCTTCTCCACTGTGATTCCATCCTTTTTAGGCACAACATATACAGGACTCACCCACGAACTATCAGATATGGGATAAATTATTCCTGCATCCAGTAATTTCAGTACTTCTTTTCGCACTACTTCTTTCTAGGTTGGGTTTAATCTGCGTTGTCCTTCCACTGATGGCTTTGACTCGTCCTCCATTAAAATCTTATACATCCAAAGAGTTGGACTAATCCCTCTTATGTCAGCTATTGTCCATCCAATTGCCATTTTGTGCTACCTGAATACCTTCAACAATCTGTTCTCCACTTCCATTATCATATCATTCGCAATGATTACTGGAAGTGTTGCAGAGTCTCCCAAATATGCATAACGGAGATGTGAATGTAAGGGCTTTAGTTCAATAGTGGGTGCTTTTTCCACTGAGGATACCGAGGGTGAAGGGTTGTCACCAAGAGATTCATATTGCCAATGTCTTCTTCCTATTGGTTGCTCAGCTGAGTTGACAACACTTTAGCTTTTCTCGCATTTGTTGCTTTCGGTTGCGCAAGTTCTGCCTCACAAAGATTTGTGTGATGCACTGTCTCAAATGTATCTTTCATAAGTTCTTCAAGAACATCTACTTGGTAACAAGTATCTAAAGTCAATGGATGTTTCATCACCTTGAACATGTTGAATATAACTTGCTCATTGTCCATTTGAAGAATCATCTTTCCATCTTAAACATCAATCAATGCTCTTTCGGTAGCCAAGAAAAGTCTTCCCAAGGTCAGAGGAATGTTTGAATCCTCCTCCATGTCCAAAATAATGAAGTCAGCCGGAAAAATAAATTTGTCAACTTTGACTAACACATCTTTAATAATTCCCTTTGATCGTTTAATTGATCTGTCAGCCAGTTGTAAAGAGATGGTTATAGGTTTTGCTTCTCCCAATCCAAGAGACCTGTAAACAGAGAGAGGCATCAAATTGACAATGGCACCTAAATCACATAATAAATGTTTAAAGAAATTAGAACCAATTGTGCAAAGTATAGTGAAACTCCCTGGGTCTTTTAGTTTAGGAGATATTTTTCTCAATAGAAATGCACTACACTTCCCATTCAGGCAGACTGTCTTATGTTCTTCCAGCTTCCTTTCGTTAGATGAGATTTCTTTCAAGAATTTTGCATGGCTAGACATTTGGGCAATTGTGTCTGCAAATGGAATATTGATGTGCAATTTCTTGAAAATCTCTACAAACTTGGCAAATCGATTATCCAACTTCTTTCTCTGTAACCTTTGAGGGAAGGGAATTGGTGGCACATAAGCTTTCACGGGGTTGGGTGCTCTCACTGCAGGTGTTTCTTTCCATTCGTCATCCTTGTCAGTTGATTGTTCAGACTCTGCTTCTGTCCTAGTCTCTTCATCCATTATTTTTTTTTATCTTTTCGCTCTGGTCTCTTCACATGTATTTCTGGAAGTTGCACCCCACTTCTGGTTGCTATAGCTTGCACTTGCTCTTTTGGATTGACCATTGTATTGCCTGACAATGTTTCTTATGGGCGTTCTACAAGCTGTTGAGCTATCTGACCAATTTGTGTTTTCAACTTCTTAATTGATGCTTGTTGATTCTAAAAGTTAGTGTCAATCTACCGAAACACCTTGTCAGTCTTCTGTATCTACTGGTTGAACATCTCTCCCAAACTTGGTTTTTTCTCCTGTTGGGCATTATTTGAATTGTTCCCTTGCTGATTCTCCGACCATTTGAAGTTTGGATGTTGTCTCCATCCTGGGTTGTATGTTTGAGTAGATGGATTAAAATTTCGAGACGCATTCTAAATGAAGTTGACCTGTTCCTCTGGAAAGCCCATAGATGTGCAATTTTCTGTTAGATGATTAGCCCCGCAGTTCTCGCATGATGGACCAACTGTCACTGCATGTGCTCCTTTTGTTTGTGATTTCACCAATAACTCCACATGTTTTGTCAATGCTGCTATTTGGGTGTTGATAGCTGCTGTGCTGTCTAACTCATACATTCCACCCGTCTTTGGTGGCGCCACTCTCTCCTATGAGAACATTGAGTGCGTAGTGGTAATCAATTCAAATAGTTCCATGGTTTGTTGCACATATTTTCTTATAATTGATCCACCAACTGAGACATCGACTTGAGATTTTAACAGTGGTGTAAGTCCAGTATAGAAGTATTGCACTTGATTACCTATAGTAATTTCATTGTTTGGGCATTTTCTCATCATCTCATTAAACCTATTCCATACCTTGTGATAGCTTTCTCCCTCTTTTTGTTGAAAAGTTTGAATCTCCAATCTGATTTTAGCTACTCTCACCGGTGGGAAAAATTTATTGCAGAATTTTCTAGTTAGTTCTTCTCATGTAGTAATGCAGGCATGAGACTCTGCATCTAACCATTCTAATGCAGCATCTCTCAATGTAAATGAAAATAGTCGTAATTTAATAGCATCTTTATTGACCCCCGGAGTATGAAAGTTCTGACAATTTTTTAGAAATCTAGAGATATGTGTGTTCAGATTTTCATGAGATAGCTCCCTGAATTGTAGAGTGTTGCTCATCAAGTTGATCCAATCTGGCCTGATCTTTATCCCAAAATCTGGGTACACGATACTGGAGCACGTGGATGCTGCTATAGGTGTCAGGAACAGAGATACTGACAAATCTCCTTCATTTATTTCCCCTCTCTCATGCTGTTGTTCTGGTTCTGCCACTACTCTTGCAGCCATTTGTCGAATCGTTGAATAGGTATAGGAATTTGTTGATTGTCAGCCATTTGATGTTGCTATTTTTGTTTGTGTTATTTGCTTCTTCGTCTGAAGGTACATTCTATCTCCGAATCAAACGGTTCATGATTGTCGCCTTTGGTACGAAACATGCAACGAACACAATTTTCTGTAAATAAAAGAAAAATAAACAAATCAAATAACAGTTTAAAAAAAATAAGACTAAAAGAAATAGTTCCCAACAACGTCACCAAAAACTTGTTGTAGAATTTTAGTTTTGCAAGTCTACAACCCGTAACAAGTAATAGTGTACCTAAGAGTCCGGATTGTCGATCCCACAAGGACTATTTTTTAGCACTTAATTCAATTTTTCTTTAACTACTATTTCACTAAAACAAATTAAAAGTTGTAGAATCTGAGTTTTAATCTAAAATCTATAAAATAAATGGACGCTCACACGATTGGTTGGAAAATCAAATAATGAATGGATATTAGGGCAGAATAATTTCACCTATTGATCACATTTACATTTTTAAATTAAGACTCAATTCTAATGTAGTGTTCGGTCGAATTCTCCTATTATATTTAATTTACCACTCTCGAGTTCTCATTGAGCCTATTCAACTAATTAAATTCTATATCGCTATACAAATTCAACTTAGTTAAACGAAATCTTTGTCCTAGGAATTCAATTATTACCATAATAAATGGTATAGATATCTCTACTCGTTATACCAATGTACTGAATTTTATTCCATGGTCTAAATCCTAAACTCATATCTTTATTTGTAAAGAATTCACAAAAATCATCAAATTATTGATCAGATAATTTAATAAATTCAACTCATAGCAAAATCGACACATGAAAAAATTAAAAACGAGTTGAATTTGCATAGCGTAAAGGATCCCAATTAGTTATATTATTCGCCCTAACAATAAATTTAACTATTCATAATGCAAGAAGAAATATAGTAAATTGTCTTAAAATATATCACCGAATTTGTAATAAAGATGTAGAGGAAAAAGTAAAATCTTGCACCAAGATCTCCTTCCCCTTCCAATCAATGCTTCAAATATTCAATTGCTTGGTGTTATTCTCCTTGAGTTTCTCTTTTGAATCTCTCTTTTTGTTGTCTTGCCTCCTAATTTGTGAAGAACCCCTCAAAAATGTGAGAATGATGTATTTATAGGTGCCTCCTCCGTTTGTATAGAGAGTAGGATTTTTTATGGATTTCAAAACGGCCCAAAAAAGCTCCCTAGATGACCTTGGTACAGCGCCTAAGCGCAGCGCCTAGGCGCTGGTGATATCGCCTGGGCACTATGATTGCAGCGCCTAGGCACTGTATCTCGGGTTCAAGTTTCATTTTTTAAAGTTTCGTAATGCCTAGGCGCTATAAATGCAGTGCCTAAGTGCTATCTTTATGCCTCAATTTCCTTGTTTTTGACCTCTTCGTCCTCTTTAATACCTCTTGTTGTATCGTCTTTTCTAATTTTCAAAACAACACTAACAAACACATCAAAAACGTTCTATACTCACAAAATCTAGTAATTAATCAAGTTAAAATTGTGCAAAATTCATGAGTGAAACAAATTCATCTGGAATCATTAAAAAAATTAGATTTCTAATATTTCTGGGTTTTGATACGTAAATTTTGATGTCCGGAATGTTTAGAAACTACCGGATTTCTATTTGGGTTGGAACTGGGTCAAAAAGACCCGGCTAAAGGTTGAAGACGACCTGCTAGTAATTTTTTTAAAAAATGGTAAACATTCTTTTCAAACCTGCAGGTGGGCATTCTTTATTACCGTTGTAGAGAGACGAGCCATATTGGTCTGATATGCAGTGGGCCTTTCAATCTTGTCATTTACTAATTAAAGTACAAAATGATTTTTGTTTTGACCATTATTTTCAACACATACGGGCCCACTTGCATTAGATAGGGACTGTTGCTATTCTACGATTCTAATAAAGTAATGATTTGGCAAAGACAAAATCCACTCTACCAATTTATTACTACATGTGAATGAGTTACAAATTAATGGGAATTGTTTAGGGGTTTTCTTTTTATATGTACTGAAATTATTTTATGTTGTTGTTTTGCATATATTACTTTTATTGGTTTGTTATACATGCAATATTAAGTTAAATAATTGAGTGTATTAAAATTTAATTTTTGTGCTCATATTGCTTATGAGTTTGTGCAATTTATATGAGCATATTTGTGAATTATGTTTAATGTCGAGTGCTCTGTATAATTTTGATTAATTGGGGAGTGGCCACAACATTTTTAATTGTGCAAAATTATATATTAAACTATAGGATCACATATTGAGGAAAGACATTAATTGTGGTTGATCATATTTAATATCGTAAAATTTATCCCACATGAATTTTTATTATATTTGTATGATCAACTAGGACAAAATATTGAATTACTTTCTTAATTACCCATAAGAATTAAGAATTGGAACATGATTTAATAGTTTTTTTATAAAGTTTATACATGGATCTAATTGAGTAGGACTTTAGCCGACAGGCAAGTTCTATGTCACTAGATTCATAATTTTGAAACATGATTTACATTGGGTAAACACGATATGTATTCATTTGTTTCAAATTTTATGCATGTTTGATTTTCTTGCAGTCATGCAACCTACAAATTTCTCTGATATTAAGTGTGAAATTCCCGAATTGAAAGGGGACAACTATAAAGTTGGAAGGAGAGAATTCTCCTTCATTTGGGGTGCATGGATATTGATTATGCTATAAGGAAAGACAAGCCGAATATTACTACGACCAGAATTCCAGAAGAAAAGACTCTTTATGAACAGTGGGAGCGGTCTAATCGCCTTAGTATGATGTTCATAAAGACCAAAATCTCTATTAGTATTCGAGGCTCCGTCGATAAATATGACGATGTCAAAGCATTACTGAAGGCTATTGATAAACAGTTTACAACTTTAGACAAAGCACTTGCTAGCACTCTGATAATGGAATTTTCAACCTTAATGCTCGATAGTGTAAAAGGTGTGCATGAGCACATCATGCAAATGAGGGACATTGCAGCTCAGTTGAAAACTTTGGAGGTTGATATGTCTGATTCCTTCCTTGTGCACTATATATTGAATACTCTTTCGTAGTAATATGGACCATTCAAAATCTCTTATAACACGCATAAAGACAAAGAGTCTATCAATCAACTTCTGACCATGTGTGTTCAAGATGAAGGAAGGTTGTTATGGAAATGAGTGAGAATGCACTGTTGGCAACACGTGAGAAGGATCGGAACCAAGGAAAAAATCATAACCAAGCCAAGCAAAAGGGGAAAGGTAAAATACCACCCCAAGGTGAAATCAAAAGGGAAAATAAGTGCTTCTTTTGTAAAAAGAATGGGCACATGAAGAAAGATTGTATCAAATTTCAGAAATGGCTTGAGATGAAAGGTAATTCAATCTCCATTATTTGTTATGAATCAAATATGGCTGATGTTAATCATAATACATGGTGGGTTGATTCTGGTGCTACAATCCATATTTCAAATACCTTGCAGGGTATGCGAAATCTAAGGAAGTCGGTGGGAAGTAAACAAAGCATCTTATCAGGAAACAAGATGGGTTCACATGTGGAGGCTATTGGAACATGTAGTTTAGTTTTAAATAATGGTTATGTTTTAGAAT